AATCAGTTTGTGTTGCTTAGGCCACCCAGACTGTGGTATTTTGTTTATTAGAAGCTCAAGTACACTAACTCTCGGGTTTTCATCCTTCAACTGTGAAGCACACCCATTGAGAGTATGGCTGCTACTCATCACTTCAGAACCTCAGCTAGCCCACCAGCTTAAATGAAAGTTACAATCCACTGAGGACTTGCTGTTTTCAAAATCCCCAAACTGCATGGGTTAGGGAATTCCCTCTTGGTTGCTCTCATAAGGAACACTCTCATCCTCACTCATTATTTTTTATTTAACCATAGGTTATAGAGGACAGTTAAATAATCATAGCTTGTGGGCTCAAAACTTCTATAAGCAGGGACTGGGTCTTTATCTGAGTATCTTCAGTATCAGCACCGAGACTTCCAAAAAGCAGATGCTCAATTAATGTTTGGTCACTAGAAGAGCCAGTGAACACAAAGTCTAATTCCTAATTTATTAATATTTAATTTTTTCCACTTTAGTGAATAAGCTAAGAAAAGCAAAGTATAAATCAGTTAATTTTACAAAACTAAAGACTAAGAAGAATTAGGGAAAACAAGGATTAATCATGTTTGAATTTTTTCTCCATTGTATTATCCTACTTATTTTACTGTGGGGTTATTTTATATTTTCAAGAAAATCTGTATTATGATGTCATATCTTCTTATCGGGATGATCGGGATGATAAAAAATCCTCAGACCTCAATACGTGTGGGAAGATATGCTGGACATATGGCTCTGGAAACTGCACTAGCTTTGGCAGTAGTGCCAGGCGTGGCTGTCTCTATGGCTTGGGCTCTGTCTTCCTCATCTCACAAAGCCTCTTCATAATGGGATGTGGAAACACTGCAGACAGTATCACTGACGGTTGCCAAAACTTCAGGACTTTCATCTTACTGGTTTCCGTATGTGCTCTTGAACCCCAAAGGAATTCACAGCATGCAGGATCACTGTTGAGTAGTACTCCAGGTACTTTTTAGCCTCACCAAATCCTGAGTGAGGAGCTTCTTGGGCTCTCCATTGATGTACTGCTTCCTCCCAGCATATGCTTACATCATATTTAGGAATTTCCAGATGTCTTCCCCAGGGGCACAGTTGCTCTTCATGAAGATCACACTCAGGAGATTTATCAGGAGACCAGTCTTGGGTAAACCTCTGTCACCACACACCCTCCCACTGTTGGAAATTTTTAGCTTTACAAGGTCATATAAGTGATGGGTTGAATTGACTTCCTTCATATCAACTGCAAAGGCAATCAGAAGTTCTTCTGAGGCTGTCAGCATACTGATTTCGGTATTTTTAGTTGACAACCTTCAGCATATCTTCCTTTATAATGGGCTGTTTCATTTTATACTCGTAGAGCAGGAACTGCTCCAACAACATAACCTTCTTGATTTGAGAGTCTCTGCATGAGTTCTCACTGGAAAGTGGGGCCTCAGCTGTACTTTTCTCTTCCTCATCTTGGCCATTGGGAACTTTATCAGATCTAGTGCAAAAGATGCCTATGTAAGTAGTGGTGGATGACGATTTCTGAGGCCCCTTCAAAGTGCTACATGACACAGCAGTAGGTAGGCTCTCAGTAACACCTACACAAAGAGGAAATGAGGATGGAGGAGACTATTCTGCTGCCACTGCTATTGCCTGAGTACCCCCATTACCCCGAGTCTTACCTCAAGTCTGGTGATGTTTCTCATGGGCATGGACCTTACTTTTCTGATACCAAGACATGATGACTCTGGTTAGGCAGAGTAGGAAAAAGTGTGGGTGGCATGGCTGGCAATGTGGGCACCAGAAGGAGGAAGAATGAAACAGTGTGAGCACCAGCAGCAGGGAGAAACTACTGTGGCTTTAACAAAGGCTACCTCTACAGGTTTCCAAGAGCACTGCTTTAGGAACCCATGGAGCTCCTGTTCTCCTGGTCAGCCTGCCTGCTGAGAACCCTGTGGATAAAGTGAGAGTAAGTTTTAGGCTGCAGCCTGCCAACTCTGCCTTAGTTGTATTGAGATGGTGGCAAAGGTTGGTAATGGGTTGGTTCTCTGTTTTGGAGAACCAATAGGTTGGTTGTCTGTTTTGGAATGTGGGGGTCTTCTAAGTTCACAATCATAATCATCATATCAATTGTTGGTGGTCCCTGGTTCCCCTCCCTTCTGCTGCTCTGAAGTTGACACCTCAAACCAAAGCCAGCACCTCCCTGAGACCCCAGAAGATAAAGTGAAGGAGCTTCTCAGTTTGCCATCTCTGTCAGGGGATACCCCACTGGGAGCTATGTGGAGGTGTCTCTGTCATGGGATGCTTGGGTCTTCAGTTTTCATTCAAGGAACCCACATGATCTCCAGGTAGTACCTGGCAGACATCCCTTTTGCTAACTTGCGGCTACAACCACACACCAAATATTTCATCTGCCTTAGATTATACACACACTCACACACACACACACACACACACACACACACATATATATATATATGAAGAAGTAGGGAGGAGCCTCAGCCTGATAGTCCTGCCCTGGTCCTTTAAGTACTGAGTACAAGGGTGGGGCACACATGCTTTGTTATCTATTCAATGGTGGTGGTCCTCCCAACCCTTCCTTTGTCTCTTGACATGGCACAGGGCTTCTCTATTCCTACCAGAATCTCCTGAGACTCTCTAGTAAGATATGGGCACCACTTCACCTGCCTGTGGTGTTCCAAGGCTGATTTGATGTTCCCCTCTGACACCATGTTTTCACCTTAATTCCTAAAAATGCCTGGAAATTTTCCTACTGCAGACCCCAGGCTATCTACTTTAGATAAAACCCCTCACCACCATTACCAATAACCACCCCCATACCATAGGAGGAAATGAGTAGAAGTCATGTAACCCGTGCACAGGCATCCCAGAGTGCCAGCAGGGCAGGGGTTCCCTCACTCCTCATGTAGGATACTGATTTTGACTCCTGACTGTATCTGGGATGCTTTTCTTTGCTGACTTGAGGATTCTTCCCTTAGACCAAAGCCCTGACATCTCTAAGACCATCCTTGAAGAAGTCAGCCTGGCCCACAGCCTCCTAAGGTTGATGGCAGGAGCAGATTTTGTGTTACTGTACACTTCTGAGATCAGTGGTCCCCTCAGAAATCACTCAAGCTTCTGCTCTTGATTCCCTAAAGAGCATGGTACTCCTTTCTTTGCTGACCTTAGCCCTCTGTCCCCTGCCTGCTCCAGGCCAAGGCCCTCAGCTCCCTGGTGTCATCAAGTAGGAAAGGAGAGCTCACGTGAACTTGACATCCATGTTTGTGTTCTTAGGGAGCTGCAAATAAGGGCTTGATGGGATTTTCCACCTAGGCATCCTCACCTTGACTGCTGCTAAGGTTTGTTCCTCCTTCCTCAGCTGCTCTGGGTTCACATACTTTTACCAAGGCCCTCATCTGCCTGAGGTCCTAGAGGCAGAAATCAGCACACATCTCAGCCTACCTACTCTGTTCAGGGCCTCCCAAGACTGAGAACAGGGGTCAGGCTTTTAGGGGGAGAAGGCCCAGTGCACACTTCGGAGGTGGGTGGTTCTCTTATTCTCGTTCAGTATTCTCACCTTTACTCCGTCTGAGCCTGAAACTCCTCACTTGCTTGCACTTGTGCTATTGTGGCCTGCCTTAGGCCAAGCCCCTCACCTTTCTGTGACCCACAGGAGGAAGTGAGTGCTACCCAGATCCCCAGCGAATGGGTTCTCAAGGCTGACTGCAGGGGTGACATCTATGGTGCCTTATCTGTTCTGGAGTGGGTAGTTCCCTCAGTCTCATAGAGGCTTCTCAATTTGACTCTTCTTAGAGCCTTACTTCAACGAGAGCCCTTTGCAGCAAGGCCCTGACATCCTTGGCTCCTGTCTCTTTAATGAAAAACTTCCTGGGAAATGTCATACCCCTGAAAAATCTTGAGGAAAATAGGTCTGTGTCCAAGTGAAATGATGTGAAATGGGGAAGCTGAAGAACAAGGCAGAAGGCCTGGGATAGGAGGTGGCTGTCAGAAAACACACACTGATCTACTTCTCTTTGTCACTCAGACTTAATCTTTCACAATCACTGGAAAATGTTAGGTGTTTAATAAATGGAATTTATGATTATTTTTACAAAGGCAATATCATTCTCTTATCTGAGATTTTTTTTTTTTAATCCAGGATATGTCAGAGAAAATGCAATGCTCTCAAACAACACCAAATCAGCCCAAAATTTGCTGTAGCAAGTAAAATTAGATTTTCTCCACTAGGGCATCCATTATTTAATTTGGATGTTGGGATTCTTCCCCATCTAGATACAATTAAGATGTTTTAGAATTTTGTTAAGGACTAACTCCTTCAGTGCATCCCAGCCACACTTCCATTTAAACCACCTATATTTTCATTCATTTCTTTCCCATTGAAATCTAGCCCCCTGTTAGAATTTGCCAAATTGCACTCACGATAATCTAATTAGAATGTCTTTTTCTAGTAGGATCTAGTTCTAGTTGAAGGTAAAACGAAAAAGCCAACACAGTGGCTTTTTCACTCTTATTTTGGGTCTTCAGTTTTCATTCAAGGAACCCACCTGATCTTATTTTGGGGACACTCCCTGGAGGCAATTTGCATAGAACACGTAGCTTGTGCATTGCGTTGTACAGCACTGAGATAAGAGCAAAGATATCTCCCACTCCTGCCTATGATGAAATGAATTTTACAACCAACCTCAAATTCACAAGCTCAAGTCCTAACCCCCAGTACCTCAGAATGTGACTGTATTCAGAGATAAGGTCTTTAAACAGGTGATTAGTTAAAATGAGGCCGTTAGAGTACTTCTATAAAATCTGACTGGTGTCCTGCAAAGAAGAGGCTAGGACACACTATGAAATACCAGGGATACACACACACAAATGAACAACAATGTAAAGAGGCTGCAAGCAGGAAGCCTTCTGCAAGCTGAGAGAGGCCTCAGAGGAAACCAACCCTGGTGGCATCTTGATCCTGGACTTACAGCCTCCAGAATTGTGAGAAAATAAACTTTTGTTGTGTAAGCCGCTAGTCCAGATCTAAAGATTTCTTTCTAGATTATCTATGATCCCAAGGGAATTCATAAGAGCATTCCTATTTATTGGTGAGGAAGGATTTTCCACATTATGGTTATGTAGTATTCAAACACACAATACTGGGCGCTGTACGGATGAGGTCAACAGCAGTTTATTAATCACATATATTCACAGGGCAGGGTAGCAGTACACCACATACCATACAGGGTCACACAAGGGTTGCACTCAGGAACAGAGTGAATGAATAAGGTCTCTGGGAGGCAGGATTTGTAGACAAGAGGGAAAGGTGACCTCCAGTTCGCATGGGAAGATGTGATTGGCTTGTATGAATAATTTTGAAGGCTACCAGGGAAAGAAAACAAGACCTGTGCCTGGTTCTGTTAAAAAAGATGATTGTTTGACTAAGGGACCTAATCTGCAAGTGCATAGTGTAGAGAGGAATTTCCGGTTAGGCCATTTGAAAAATCTAAGGCAGTATATAGTATTAGGTCTTGATTTGGGGCTTTATAATACAATGTAGTTTTCCATTAAAGGGTTTTCTCTCTCAACTTTGAGACACATCACCTGAGGGTTCTGACCTCTGCTTACCAGTTTCATAGCCTCATCTAGCACCCCAATGCAGCTAATTTTAAAAGTTTCAACACATTGTTTGGCTTTCAGTTTTCCCAAACTCAAACTGCCTTGCTTCATGAAACTTATGCTTTACTGCTCTCAACTGGAATGTCCCCTTCTCACTAATCCTTACTACTTTCCTGTAAGTCATAGAGGATGGCTCAACATTGACTTTATATGACTGCAGCTTTTAGCCTCAACGATTCTATGGGCAGAAGCTGGGTCTTTATCTGAGCAGCTCCAGTACTGTCACAGAAACTTCCAAAGACCAGATACTCAAATGATGTTTAGGGAATGTGAGACACAGTGAGCAAGAGATCTAACTTATAAAGATTTAATTTCTCCTACATTTTTAACAAGCTAAACATATCAAGGTATCAATCATTTAATTTTACAAAACAAAAGACTGAAAGGAATGAGGAAAACCAAGATTGATCATGTTTTATCACTTTTTTTCTATTTCATCATCTCAATTATTTTACTGGAGGTTCTTTTGTATATCTAAAAACAATCCCTTTTGGTGATGTTATATTTGCTTGACTGGATGAAAAAACTTCAGACTTCAGTAGGGTTGGGAGAAGCTGTTGAACTTGGCCTCGAAACAGTCTTGGCCACTGCAGTAGTGCCAGTCTTGGCTGCAATTCTGGCTTGGGCTCTTTCTTCCTCATCCATCAAAGTCTCTTCATATCGTGAAGAGAAAGTACCTGGAGCAATATTACTGACCTTGGCCAAATATTCCAAGACTTTCATCTTGCTGGTTTCACTGTAGGCTCTTGTAACCTACAGGAATTTATAGTGTGCAGGATAACTGCTGGGCACCTGGCAGTACTCCAGGCACTTTAGCTTCACAAAATCCTGAGTGATGAGCTTCCTGGGCTCTCCATAGAGGTAGTACTTCTTCCCAACACATATCTGCATCATATTCAGAAATTGCCAGATATCTTCCTCATTGGCACCGTTGCCTTTCAGGAAGATCACACTCAGGAGAGTCATCAGGAGACCAGTCTTGGGTAACCCTTTGCCAGCATGAATCCTCCCATTGTTGGGGAGTTTCAGCTTGCTGACAAGGTCATGTAAGTGACGAGCTGGGTTGACCTTCTTCAAATCAACTGCAAAGACACCCTCAATGTGCTCAGAAAGTTTTCTGAGAATCTCAGCAAACTGGTTTTGGTATTTTGGGCTGACAATCTTCAGCATATCTTCCCTCAAAATAGGCTGTTTGATTTTGAACTTGTAGAGCAGGAACTCCTCCAACAAACCCACCTTCTCACAAGTGTGGAGCCTAATCTTCTGATCCTGAGACATGATGATTCTGATAAAGGAAAGCAGGCAGGAAATGAATAGTAGAACAGATAAAGAGGGCCCACTGGAGGTGGAAGGTTGAGAGGGTCTGTGCACCTTCAGTGTGGAAATTCCACCATGGTTATAGTGAAAACAGCATTTGCAGTTTTCCGTGACGGAACTGCTCTAGGAACCCACTGGGATTCTGTTCTCCTGATCAGTGTGCCCCTTGGGAAATCTTTGGAAGAAGTTAGATTGAACTGTAGGCTTTAGCCTGGCAGCCCTGCCTCCGTCATATTAAAGTGACATAGTGGCTGCCAGTCTTCTGAGTTGAGGGGTCCTTTTACTTCACATTCAAGACAATCATGCCAATGGGTGGCGGGTTATGAGAACCATTTCCTCTTTAGTTATACCACAAACCTCCCTGGGACCCATAAGAAGGATGTGAAGGGGGTCCTCAGCTTATCACTGCTGTCTGGGTGCCCACAGTGCTGATTGCTGTGTGGATAATTTTCTTCCAGCCTTTCTGTGATCCTCAGTTCTCTCTTGGGGTCCTTACATTGGCATATAGGGCCTAGGAGCCCAACTCCCTTCATTTGAATGGTGACTACTGTACCTTCAGACTAAGGATGTCACCTCCCATAGACCTGACATAAAGAAGTGGTGGAGAGCTTCCACTTCACAACTCTGTCCTGGCCCTTCAAGCGTTGAAACCAGGGTAGGGCCAGATTCTTTTTTAACCCTTTTATTTAGTGGTCAATGGTTCCTTCAGCACTTGATTTGACCCCTGGCGTGGTCTGGAACTTCTCCTTCCCTTGTCCTAAGGCCTATCCCCTCATACTAAAGACAGAATGACCCTGAAACCTTCACTAAGGGGAATGTGACCATCTTCTCATCTGTTCTCATTTGTTCTTACCTATCCTCGTTCTTCCAAGGCTGAGAGCAACAGTTTGATTCTGTGTGTTCCCACTCATAGGATATGTGGTCCCCTCAGTTATTAGGATATACACTGTGGCCTCTGCAGAAACCTGGAAATCCTCTAACTGCTGACCTTAACTCACAATCGTTAGACCAACTTCCTTACTTTCTTGTGACATCATACGAGGAAGTATGCCACATCATGTCAGCAATGCAGATATATTCCAGGGCTGCCAGTAATGGTGGGGCTCTGTATGGTTCTCTTAGTTCTGAAGGTGGAAGGTTTCCTAAGTCCTCACTAGGGACCATCACATTGACTCATGGCAGGGCCTTGGACTCTCTTTGTTTACTTGAGGACGCTCCCCTCAGACTAACCCCTCACATCTCTGACACCCTTCTTGCGGAAGTCAGCCTGACAGCTCTGCCCAAGGCCTCCCAGGGTTGATGGCAGGGGGAGGTTCTATGCCACCTCCCTGTTATGGGGTCTGTGGTCCCCTCAGTCATCACTCATGATTCTGCATTTGATTCCTCGCAGGACATGAACATCTCCCTTTATTGTCTGAGTCGCAAAGCCTTAGACCAAGATTCCCACTCCTTGAGGCCCCAGAATGGAAATAGGAGATGCCACATGAGGCCACCTCTATCTATGATCGCCCAGGGATTACATCAAGATTCAGGCTCCTTGGGGCTCTGTAGAGGGTAGAGGTCTTCCCTCAGTCCTCAGTCCTCACTCAGGGTCCTCACCTTGACTCTTTGCAGGCCTCAAGTTTCTTCTTTCAACTTTAGGTCACTCATGTAGACTAAGGCTCTTATGTTCCTGAGAACACTGAACAATAAGTGAGAAGTAGTCAGCCTAACAGCCTTGCCTCAGTCTTCCAGGTCTAAAGAAAGACGCAGTGTGATCTCTGTTACTCCATTTACTATGGGGTATTTGTTTCTTTAGTTGTCATTCGTCAGAGTCTTTATCTTGGTTTTTACACTTTTTATTAGAGGCTTCTGGAGAAATGCCACATCATTCCAAACTCTTCATTAGCTTTCCCTCTGCAAACATTGCAGAGAATAGGATGTGTCCTAAGAATGATATGAGATGAGAAAGTTGAAGTACAAAGCAGAAAGCGCTGGACAGGTGTGCCTTCAGAGAAAAAAAAAATTGCTGATACATCCCTTCTTGTCACTAGGCAGACTTCACTTCTTATGTAACTTCTGTTCAAATGTATCTGCTTTCTACAGTGAAGAGGCTGAGTCAAATGATTTTGTGAGTCTCTAGTATTTTGAGGTTTCTGACATTGACATTGCAGATAATGATATTGTCAACAAGTATCTTTCTTTAGTCACACCTTGCATTCATTTTGGTATTTTTATTACTTATCCCTTGGGCTATGTATCCCAAAACAGTATTTGGGGTTTGAAGTCTTGCTATGTATCACCTGAGATATGTCTTGAAGTAGTGAGCAGAAAATAAGTAACACAAGGTCTGCCTCAGGCTGGAAGAAGTGGAACAGTGTGGACTCTAGAGAAATTCAGATCCAGGGTCTAGTATAGTTCTCTCACTTACCAGTCTTGTGAACTTGAGAAAATTCTAAGTTTTTTACCTGCAAAGTCAATTTGATGAGCCCCATCTTATACCATCTTATAGAATTTAGGCGTATATATACTGTACATAAATCACCTGACACGGTTTTAGGCAAAGTTTGGGTCTTTAATGAATGGTAATTATTACTAAATATATTTGGACTCAAGATGATAACAATCTTCCCTCACAGAATTTTATTTCCAGAATATATTAGAGAATACTCCAAACAACAGAAATCCACATCTGCTGAAATGCTGCCAAGCCAGTAAAACCGACTAGTGCTTCCTTATTAGAGCATCTGTTATTTAATTTGGCTGTGGACTTGTCTTCTTCAGCTGGAGGCAACTCAAAATTCCTCTTTTGTGGTAGGGACCAGAAACTTCCTAGGTCACTTTTCCATTCAAACTGACCCTATTTTTATTCACTACATCACCACCCAAAACCGTGCCCTCTCTTAGAGTTTGAAAAATTACGCTCAAAGTAACCTAATTCAAATGTCTTTCTAATGGAGCAGACTCTGACTCTCCCAGCCTGTGACAGGGGTGACGGTTCAGTGGCCTCTTGGCATTTCATGTAAAGGAAGTATCACTCATATTTCTCAGAAACTCCCTGGACATCATGTGCCCGGAAGACACAGTGTTTGAACTGGGGCAACTGCACAGATCTCTTTCCCTTCTTATCCCAGCTGGGGATTTCTTTCTGGTATACCTACAGTGTCAAAATAACTTTTAAGACTTGCTTTCCATCTCAGGGGTAGTCTCTCACCTCTGAGAGGTACCACCTGAGGGCCAGGCCCATGCTCACCACTCCCACAGCCTCATGCAGCCCATGCTGCAGCTTTCCTTAAATTAACTCCCATCAAGAGGCTTGCCATTTTCTAATACTCTGAACTGCCTTCGCCAGATAGTTCACATCTGACTATATTCATGTGAAATCTTCCCTTCCTTATCCCCTCTTTCTAATTCTCATTTATGTCTTAGATGGAATCTCCTCATCTTCCTTATATGTTAGTTGCTGTTTGACTCTAAAATTCTGCAGGCAGAAGCTGAATCTCCTTTTCTTTACCGTCACTTGTACTATCAGGAAGCCTTCTAAACAGCAGGTACTCAATTACTTGTTAGGAAACAATAATTAAAAAATAATAAAAACAGTAAGCAGGAAGTCTAATTTATTATTTAATTTCTCATCCAGTTTGAATACACAAAGTAAATACAGGTTTATATAATTTAATATTACAAGCAATGAGCAAAAAGGCTAGGAAAAAAACGCGCATTTACCACTCTACTTTTGTTTCACTATTTTGTGACCTCAACTATTTTGCTGTTGGGTTCTTTCACATTTCCATGAAGATCTCTATTCCAATGCCACGTTACCTTATTCTGTACTAAAAATAAAGTGTTTTAAAATAACAAACCTTTTAGTCTTAAACTTGACAAACAGAAATAAATGTGTGATCTATGACATTAAGAAACTTAGATTGTGAAACAATTTAAATCTTCACTTAAAAGAAAGAACATTTATAAAATAATAATGAAAACAAAAGATAAATCTACAGGTTACCCAGGTATAACTGGAAAAAAGAAAGATACACATCTTGTTCCCTCCAGCATCTACTATGCTGCACTACTTAAATGGCTCACTACTCTCTTCTAACATAAAATGAACATTCTACTTCAGATCTCCATAGAAGTGGGAGGATCTATAGGATGTGGTCCCGTAAAGTACCCTGGCCAAGGGAACAGTGCCAGCTCTGTGTGCAGCTCTCAGGCTCATTGCTCTCTCTACCTCATCTGTGAAAGCCTCTTCATGTAGATTTGGGAAGGAAATGGGGAGAGTGTCATTGATCTTGGCCAAAACTTACAGGACTCTCGTCTTGCTGGTTTCAAATGGGCTCCTGGAACCCAAGGGAACTCATAGCACAGGGGATCACTGTTGTGCACCTGCTGGTACTCCAGGTACTCTTGTTGCACCAAATCTTCCGCGATCAACTTCCGGGGCTCCCCAAAGATTATAGGCCTCCTCCCAGCATAGATTGCCACTGCATACAGGAAGCCCTAGACACCCTCTTCAGTGACATGATTGCCTTTCATGAAGATCACACCCAGGAGTATCGTCAGAAGACCTGTCTGCAGATCTTATCACCACTCAGACTTCCTTCACTGGAGAGGCCTACCTTGCTGACAAGGATGTAGGAGTTGCTGCTGGAGTCCATTTCTTTCCATTCAACACCAAAGACCACCTTCAAAAGCTCAGAGGTTCTCCTGAGGATCTCAGGGAACTGCTGCTTGTACTGTCTGCTGACAAGCTTGAGCAAGTCAGCATTCAAAATAGACTCTTTCTTCTCGTACTTCTCCAGTAGGAATTGCACCAACACACTTAACTACTTCCTGTTCAGAGGATCTCAGTATGTGCTCTGAGCGAAGGCTGCTTTCTGGCAGCTGCTTGCACTTTTCTTACCTTGACCCTTGGCAGCTACTTCAGATTTTAAGCATGAAACACCTGCATCAGGAGAGCCAGTGAGTGAAGCTCCCTGAGACTCCTGAGGAATGGAGGCATCAGGAGACCTACAATGAGCACCCCGACAATAAGGAGAAGAGACAGAGGAAGGGAAGGTCTCTTCTTGTTTCTCTGCAGTGGCCT